AAAGCCACTGGATTGGTGTTACTTTCCCCTATGAGGTTGTGTTTGGCCTCATCAAAAACCTGCTTTAAGTGACGAACCTGATCCAGGGAGCATTTTTTATGAGGCCGCCAGGGAATAGTATTGGGGTCTGGGCCAAGCGAAAGCAAAGGCTTTGGGGAGATGATGGGGATCAAGTTTCATTTAATGCACAGGGGAGTTCGGACCAGTTTGCTGTACTGCTCTGAACACCACCAAACACCAAACACAAGACATTAGAGGTGAAGATATAATAAGTTCAGACCGATGAGCTTTGTAAAAATCGACACGTTTCAGAAAGTCGGGGCATAGAGGAGAAACAATAATGTACAGTATGTGGAAAATAATGTGTTTTTTTAACCTTAAACCGCATAAACACATTTCATTACACCAAATACACAAAATAATGTTCTTTTTAGCAACATCATATGACCCCTTTAAGAGGGAATACATAAAAACAAATTACGCACAGTGATACCGCAGTTCACTTGCACACGCTGTCTGTTGAATGCAAATTTCATTCCGCAATTCCCAATCTTGGAGGTCAGTTCTGAGTGCTAGCGGCTGTGGAGGATGCAACAGACTGTCACGATCTAGCATTATTTGCTGGGACTATACAGCATCACTTCACCGCTGCGATCCAGGCACCTGAATCAGCTCTGTACAAAATATGTGTACAGAAATAACTTTTTTTGAAAGAAAAGTTTATTGAACTTCATCAAATTACTATATGAACTTTCAATTTATCAAAGAATCCTGAAAAAAACAGTTTTCACAAAAACAATTAATTAGCACAACTGTTTTCAGCATCGATAATAAAGTTTCTTGAGCACCAAATAAGCATATTAGAATGATTTCTGAAGCATCACGTAAGACTGAAGACTGGAGTAATGGCTGCTGACCGGTACTAACAACCATGCTACTGTATGTAAAAAAACTACCTGAGACATTGTCGATCAATGCTACAGTGGTATAAAATAGAAAACATACAGTAAAATGTAGATGAGCTGCCAAACCTGCAAATCAAATGCATGTTCTATGCATGTGCAAAAGAAACTACACCCTCAAGCAAAAACTAAATGTGATGAGCACACAAACCCGTGCAACAAAATAGCCAAACAAACTATTGGCATACCCTTTTGCCCCAGCTCCTTCAATTCCTATATTCCATCAAACATTTCTGATACACAAAAATGAGGGTCACTGGGGATTCTGCCACAGATGACTGTGGTTGTGGTCCCTCTTTTATTTATGTTAGCCAGAAAGAGCCATTTGATGGCAGTCCTCATACAAATGCACATTTATAAATCAAGCCCATAGTGCCCTGGTCACCAGACATCTGAAATCAGGAGCAGAACTGGAGGGGATGTTTACTGTGTATTCAGCAATATATTTTCAGAGTCAAACATGCGGTTATATTCAACTGATTTCAGTCAAACCGCAAATGGTGTGCCCAATGATGCCGTCTGAATGGCCTTTAGCATTTAGACTGACATCCAGGCCAGTGGGCACTGTGTTACGTGGCATTTCAGGTTCATCATTGGGTTACTAATAGATGAATGTAAGTTGACTGTGTCACATACTGTGCAATACACAAAATTCAATCTTGTTCTCGGATTAGATCAACGGAAAAGGTGGCAAGTGCAGAAGAAAAGAGCCCCATTAATGGCCCTTAACTAGAGCTGGGCTTGGGCTTATAAAACTGAGCTCAAAAGGGCAAGCATGAAGTATTCCTCTTTCCACTCTGCAAACGACAGAACACCTCACATCCACAGGGAAACACTGCCAGCCAGGCTGGAAGGATCGAAAAACTAAATAAACTGGCGTTTGTGAGTATGATCCATTTCCAAAGAAACCAAGAGGGCCATGCGGTCCCGAATCTGATATTCTAGTCTCGTTTTCTTCCAGGGACTGAACAAATAAAGGCTGAGAGGTTAAAGCTGAGACATGGAAACAATTTTTCAATTTTCCTAATCCCCCTTGATAATTTTTTATGTTATTATTTATTTTTTGGGAGTATTTTTAGGTCGTAGTTATGAGAGGGAATTGATGACAGCTCGAGGAGGCGTCATTAAAGCTGGCCTCTCTTTTTCTCAGAAAGCGAAGCGTGTCATTGTCTCAAGATGGTGTGAGCCTTCATCATTATATGCAAGTGCCAAACAGTATTACATCATGTTACTGAATTCATGATTTCATCAGACACCCACCCCCAATTATGCCATAAGTCGACTAACATGGCACCAAAGCAACATTACAAGGGCAGTTTGGCAAAACTCTTACATCTTATATTGAAATCACAGCCTAAATTTAAGTAATATATCCTTTTTTTCAGCATTTCTGCTAATACCCAACTGAATTAAAAGGGTCATGAACTGCCTTTTTTTATTATTTTGTACTGTTCTCTGAGGTCCACTTACAGTATAATGTTATCATAATTTTTACATCAAAAATCATAATTGAGAAGTAAGAGGCTATTTTCTCTCCTGATTTGACCCCCCTCATCGGAACGCTCTGTTTGAATAGGCATGGTGGATCGTAGACTCAAAAGTAAACGCCCACTGCTATGATTGGCTAACAGCTGTGTATGTTTGACAGCCTACATCCTTCATAGATGGACGTTGCTGTGATTAGGTTAAAAACGTATAAATACTCAGTGCATATCAAACGATCTGTAATAACAGACAAAGCAATAGTGACCACATAATAAAAACACACTTGTGTGGTGCGACATTACTGTCAGATTCAATATAGTCGCACAGCATCGTCTTTTAGTTTAAATCTTTCTGAAAATCCTGCATCGAATTGTGCTTTGTTTGTAAATGAATTTGCGGTAAAATGAAGTGAACAAAGGGCCAAGTTCTGGAACTTCATTAAAAATAAAGTTCAGCTCTTTCCTAATGTTGGGAATTAGAAGGAAGGCAATGCAAAGACTGTGTTTTTCCACAACTTAGCACTGCACAACGTCTTGTTGTCTTCTGAGCCATCTTTATCGTTTGGTTTCTGCATAGACCTGTGTTTGTCTCTCTCGTTATTTACACTACATGCGTGAATCGGTGGGCGGGGCTAAACAGGCAGTGATGTAGAAGCAGGCATTGATCTTCTTCTGCGGAGGCGGGGATTAGCCACACTATTACGTCCTAAATTGCCACATTCCACAACCTGTCATTTTGGCAGATTGGCTTCAATATAAGCTGTTTTTAGGCTAGCGAGAAAGTTTTGAGTTCTGAAACTTACAGGATGTATATAGTACAATATAGTACATATAGTACAATTACCTCTTATGTCAAAAGATCAAGGAAATTTTGATTTCTCAGTTCATGACCCCTTTAAAGTCAATACTATGATACCCATTGTCTCTCAATCCTTCAAGAAGCAGCCTTCCTCTATTCACTGTCTAAAAATCAATGCTTTCCTATAGTGTCACGGTTTTTCATTTAAATAAATTTTGTGCGTTTTATTTCTCTCTTAACTGGCTCTATGTGTGTGCCTGTGATTCTGCGTGATGAGATGAGCAAGCGCCTCCCCGCTTATAATGTGCATTTGAAAAAGCAACACACGCCAAACATCTTCCGTTGTTATGACTTGCAATGAGAAGCATTTCTAAACCGGTTGTCCAACAAAAGAGAATATTATAACGTTTTTACTCCACAACATCAGTCGAATGTTTGAAATAACTTCCTTTTGTGATTTGATGTGGCTTCTCATCACAGAATGACGCAGAAAATATATTCTACACTCAAATAAAGGCGATTGCAATGGATTACAAATATACTTTATCATTATGAAAATACCCAAGATGGCTTGAAGAACGCAGATAACTATATATTGTAGCCAGTGGTGGAAATGACCAAAATTCACTCCGGTGTTTTGAGCGGTGAGTGGATTAGACACCTCTGGTTGGCCGTTCAAGAAATCAACAGATACAGTATGTCAATGCTGCAAAAACACGTTGTAAATGGAAACTTATGATGCTCTCCAGACTGGGCAAACACAGATACCCACTGGCAAGTTTGCAAAATCAGTTTCAACTGAGGGTGCACCCCTATAGAACCAGTCCTGATTGGGTCAGTTGCATTGGTGCTCCTAAATATTTTTTCACAGTTGCATGCAGTAGTTTTCAGTCGCAATGTACTGTACATTCATTGCATTTACAGTTCTAACATGTATCGCCAATAGTGTGTATATGTACTGTATTTTGTGCATATCTCGCATGTATTTCTGCTTGTGCAAGTGTAGTAGAATATGATACTGTTTTCACTCTATATGTGTCTCATTAATGGGAATGCAAGCTCTTTTCAGGCTAGAGGACATAGAGGACATAGAGTTTACATAAAAATCTGGATCATTTCAGGTATGTTAACGCAGCCTCATCCATATAAAATTTTCTCCTCTGTTAAAGTAAGATGTTCTGATTTTCGGCAAAAATCACACACCTGAAGCAGTTTAAATTGCAAAAAACACTCTGATGTGCCAAGCCATCAGAACTGAACTGAAAACCGTGGTCAAAAAACACGTATGTATTGAACTGTAGGCTAACTGTATTGTTGCATCCTTATAGAAGACCTTATTAAGTGGTGTGTATGCTCAGAAGTGCTTAACCTTGCTATGACAGCCTACCTCATATTCTAACAAGGCTCTAAACAAATCTGGAGAAACCCAAGCTATGTGACCAACAAGCTACTGAATAGCAACCAAGAGGACTAACATAATCACAGACAACAAAAAAGAGTGTGTATTCATAGCTATAAAGCAGTTGTTCTGTACTGTTTGACCCTACTGTCCACCACAATATTCAAAGGCCACATGACTTTTCCAGTTGTTTGTTATTTGCTGGATTTTAAAGATAAAGATTTCTAGGAGTTTTTTAGGAAGTTTCAGAAGAGATCTAGATGCAGCACTACATATCACCTTGTCAATCAGCTAAGAGAAAGAAGGAAATGTTGAAGAAAAACATTCTAAGCTGCAGTTAAAAAGATTGATCATACCTGTCCAGGAATGAGAGGCTCCTTATCATCAATATCAACCAGGAAGTCATCTCTAGGGGTGTGAGCAATTGCCTCTGTTGATGGAAATATACCATAAAACATAATGTTTCATCTACATCATCAGAAGAATGCAAACTCGAGAACTGTTAATGGAACCAAGCACCAAAAAAAATCATTTGATTCTTGCATTTTTTTATTTTTGTTCTGAATTAGAACAGGTTCTAATATGTCTATATACCCTAAAAAAGCTCAAAATACACCTACTTTTCTCCAATATCCTTTCTTTCTTTCTTTCTATGCTTAATTGTTATTTGCTGCTCCTTTGTAATTATTTATTGCATTTTGGTGTGCGGGTAGAAACAATATGGTAAAAATGGTATTTAGTCATTCCCTTATTTCCCTTATTATTATCTCACCAAATTCTTCTTCCGTAGGGTCTCTGTCCAGGCTCTCTGGCTGACAGCGGAACTCATTCAGCGAGTGGACTGTGCACTGGCCCACTACAGGCTTCCTGCCAAACTGACGGTTGTCTATAACCTTGATCACCAATGGGGGCATGTAGAGCTCTTCCTTGGGCAGTCGCTAGAGTGAAGAAGAGATTACAAATAGCAAAGATATGAACATAAAGAGATGCAAGGCTTCCAAACCTTTAACTTCTAACATAATGACTTGTTTATTTCTCCATTTCCGTTGTTATTCCACAGAACCTTCCTCTCTCTCTCCTCTCGTACTGTGTGAAAGTATTTCACACCCTAAACTGAGGCAAACATGACAAAGTATGGCACAGGGCTGACCACGACTGACAGTGCAAATAACTAGTCATTCAGCATTCTTTCCATGCGATGCCTCCCAGTCCTAGATGAGTATTGGAACGGAATCCAGACTATCTTACGTTTTGGAATTAAGAACTGACGCTCATTGCTGGGGAACATTGTTACTGTGCCAGTCATCACTCATGAAACATCCACCATGTGAAGGACACCATGACCACATTGTATATAAGTCTGTCTCAACTGGTTAGCAGCATGCTGTAACACAAAATTTGATATTTTAACCAGATTTCTACATGAAGAATCTACAAGAAATCTCTGAAGAGGGCTCAGCCAAAGGTCAACTGTATTTATTAACATTTGATAGTTACAATAGATGTGTTATTTTTGTATTCAGCCTTGATGAAAAAGTTAAAAGAAAAAGTTAAAAGAAAATTTAAATAAATAGAATACAAATTTGCTGAAATTTTATTTACCGTCAGGCCATCCAAGATGAGTTTGTTTCTTCATCGGAACAGATTTGGATTAATTTACTATTGCATCACTTGCTCACCAGTGAATGGGTGCCGTCAGAATGAAAGTCCAAACAGCTGATAATAACATTACAATAACAAACAAGTAATGTAAGTAATCCACAGGCTGCCTGTTTGCAATAAACAAAACCATCATTAAGATGATTTTAACTTCAAACATTGTTTCCAGCTAAAAGTCCTCTGACAGTAAAACTGTCCTCTAATCAGAATATTTTTTACAGTGAAAAAGTCATCTCTTCTGAATCAGGAGAGAAATATGCACACATCAAGCACCGTTTACAAGCAAAAACAGTCCAAAACAGTTCTACAGTCGTGGTCAGAATTATTGGCACCCTTCGTAAATATGATCAAAGAAGGCTGTGAAAATAAATCTGCATTGTTAATCATTTTGATCTTTTATTTAAAAAATTCACATAAATCTAACCTTTCATTGGAGAATAAGAATTTAAAATGGGGGGAAATATCATTATGACATGAATGTTTTTATCTAATACACATTGGACACTGGATAATTTCATGTTCATAATCACCCTGGTATGCTCAAAATTGTAAATATGAATGGGAATATACTTCACAGATATTTTACTCATAATAATTTCTAGGGATTCCAATAATTGTGTCCAATGTGTATTTGAGAAAAACATTTATTTCATAATGAGATTTTCTCCCAATTTTCAATTGTTTTAGATCAATGAAAGGTTAGATATTTGTGATTTTTTTTTAATAAAAGATCAAAATGATTAACAATGCAGATTTATTTTCACAGCCTTCTTTGATCATATTTACCAAGGGTGCCAATAATTCTGACCACGACTGTAAATAAATATGTTGGTAGATATTGATGTGAGAGGACAACAGGGGATGAACTTTTTCACTGGAGGAATCATTCATATGGATTAAATTAACTGGCATTTTGGCCAGAAGTGACGGTTTAAAGTTAAATCACCTTAATGATGGAGTTTTTCACAAACATGCAGATTTTCACTTCACAAGACATTAATTGCCGGACTGAAGTCATGTGGATTATTGTGATGTTTTTATAAGCTGTCTGAACTCTCATTCTTACGGGCAGCACCCAATCACTGCAGAGGATCCACTGCTGAGCAAGTGATGTAATGCTAAATTTCTCCAAATCTGTTATGATGAAGAAAAAAACACATCTACATTCATCTTGGATGGTGTCTGAGGGTGAGTAAATGTTCATCAAATTTTCATTTTTGGGAGAACTATTCCTTTAAACCTTACCTAATTTTAGCGTATCTAATCTTCCCAATATGACCTAATTTTAAACAAAATTATGCAGATAAAAACAAACAAAAACAAGACCAGGAGCTTACGACATCAATGAACAGGGTGTTGACATCAAAGTTGAGGTTTTTCTTAGTATTTCGAATGACGCATGACTGAACCACACATCCTCCACATTCCACCTGAAGACTGGGAGATGTCACACTGGCCAACTGGAAACTCTTCAGGTTACGCAAACCCCACACCAGTATCTAAGAGTTAAAATGTTAAAAGGTTAAGGCACATGAGGTGCAATGTCCTAAAGTAATCATGAATAGTAAAACAGCCAAATGTCAGTGCTTTTTGTGAGGTTCAAATAGTCTATACTGCACTAGAAGCTTTTTAAACTATAAATGGATAACCTAAGGATAGGTTTTGGGCCCACCTCAATAGCAGTGCGTTGTAGGACAGGTTTTATGCCCTGCGGCACCATGTAGACATTAGGTTCCCTCTGTGGAGGTGGATAAGGCAAATCAGAGTCCTCTGGCTAATAATGAAGAGTAAAGCATAAAGTGAAAAGTTCATAAGGATCAGTGTTGTTATCGTTAAATAAAACTAAAACTATTAAAAATAGTTTTGTTAATTTAAATAAAACTGAAAGAAAATAAAACATAAATATTAGATAAAAACTTTAAGCATAAATTTGAAATGTTTTGAATGTTTTTTCCAATATTTTAACACATCAAATTAATTAAACCAATTTCAACTTTATTTTTTAAGTTATATGAGTAGCACTAAAATAGCCGGAAATAAACAAAAATGTATTTAACCAGAAATAAATAAATACTACAATTATAAATGAAATAAAAATTAAACTTAAACAGTGATATTCATAATAATAATAATAACAAAAACATCAACAAAAGCACATAACAAAATTTTTTTTAAAAATGAAACTGAAAATATAAAAATAAAAGCTAATTTAAAATATTATTAAAAACAAGAACAGTATGTAAAATAACACTGATGTGGATATTCTGCATTTAACTATATACAACAAGCAAGTAAGGATGGCTGAAATGCATTCACAGTTTCAAAAACCATGCAAAATGTTGTCTTCACTATTGAAGGAGACAAAGAATACATTTAGAGGACTCAACTTCACAAGCACTATGTTTCCATTCTTCTCTATAAGTACATTTGCATGACACACCCAAATTCGAAAATGGGTGTGAAAACAAACAAGGAATTGTTACTAATAGCAGCAACAAAAAGTCAAACATCATGACTTCACATGCCAATCAAAGTTAGCAATTAAGCCACAACACACACACACACACACACACACACACACACACACACAAGCAATGATTAGCCAGGACTGTGTTGTGCCAGTGCAATTGTTTGATGAATGGTACTACTGTTGAATACAATGGTGCTCTGTGCAAAGGGACCTTTGGAGATATGCTTCAGTCATGGAGAATTAGACTATGTAATGTCTAACTTAATTAAGTTAAGGCAAGGATTTAAAAGAATGTCATTAAAACAGACACACATTCAAGGAAGCATGGCTAATCTACATGTACTTGATAAATGAGAACATTTCCCGGCAATTACACAAACTCAGTACTCAACATGCTCAAGTATTTAGATACAGACAAATCATTTTGGAAAGACCACAATATTCAAAGGACAAACAGAATTAATTTAGTGGGGATGCATGTTATATATTGCATTTACGTTAAATGTATGCATTTGGCAAATGCTTTTATCCAAAGCTACTTACTGTACATTGAATTCAAGGTATAAAATTGATCAGTTTATGCATTCCCTAAGAATCGGAACTATGACCCTGGTGCTGCTAGCGCTATCCTCTTCTGTTTGAACTACAGGAATTAAAAATAATAATAATAATAATATTGGTAAATTGGTACCACATTTCTCCTATTTTTACACTGTAAAAAACATTATATGATCAATAAGTAATGGGAACATATGTTTTTCCAATATTTTAACTCATCAAATTAATTAAACCAAATTCAAATTTATTTTTTAAGTTATAAAAGATTCAGCTCGATTTGTTGAGTCAGTTTAATATAATTTCAGTTTAAATGACTTGTACAATTTTAGATTATATTTGCTGTCATCTAACGACCACTTAAGGTTAATTTGTAATAATTTAATAACATTGTTAAATGTAAAATTTATTAAATTGTATATTCATAATGAATATTCTTTTATCATACTGTACATTATAATGCTGTGATACCTATATTCACTTATAGCATTTAAAATTGATTTTAGTTTTTAGAGTTTGATTTTTAATTTTAGTCAAAATAGTATAGAATTTTATTCAAGTCAAGTATTATAATGCTTTATACAATACAGATTTTGTCTAGCTTTACAGTGTTAAACAGAAAACTAATGTTTCAATGATGCAAAATTCAATTCTGCTGTAAAGCAGCTCTAAAAAGAGGAAAACAGTAAACAGTCAATTTTTCAGTTAAAGTCAGTTCATTGTTGATTCAGTTCAGTTTAATAACTGTATAAAGTTCAAATCATCTATATAGCAGCTCTGGAGAAAACAGTGATGTCATCATCCAGCTCAGTTCAGTTCTCATCCAACAGTGTCTGTGCAATCAAGTCGTGATTATTGCCAAATATTACGTTTTGTTGTTTTAGAATAATATACAATATGTTATTGTTATTGGTCATTTAATATCAGTGCATCCCTAGGTCTTAATAATATCTTGCTGTTATTTCCAGCAAAACAAAGATAGTAATGTGGAGTACAGAGGAAAAGGGAAAGTGCAAGACCATGAACCATGTATTGCCAATGTTTTCATTTATTATTGGCGACATGCCAATGTTTCTGTCCCTATGTGAGTTTGTATCTAATGAAGAGCAGTTATTATGCAGTCTTATAGTTAGTTCCACCATTAGTCCATCACTGTGTCTTTTTGAAATGCCACTGCAGAACAATACAAATCTTTGTGCAGATGAAGCGGAATCCAGTAGATAGGAGAGCTGGGAATACAGCCAGATCAGAAAGGCCTCTTAATTTCCAAGCCCCCTCCCACAAGATCTTGTCCTTAGCAGGCCTCATAAAAATCAAGGAGGTGCGTAGAAGTACATAGAGTTCTGGAGGAATCTACCCACCAGTGACAAAAAAAAATCCATATCTCAACACTCCATATCCACAGCCTAATGAAAGCCAGTGGGAATGACCTTTTGGAGTTAACTATACTGGTTTCCAGCTCAGTATCTTACACATTGAGTTGTGTTGTAATATTTGAAGAAATGCTTGACCGCTATAAAGGTCTGAATGACTTTTGTAATCATTAGTTCTGGTTTAATATGGTGGAACCACATGTCCTGTGTTTTTCATAGTGTTTTATCAAAAGTTTCTACTAAAAACAGTGAGATGTGTTTGTGTATGTGCGTGCATGCTTGTACCCATTGCTGTTGACTGTCAGAGAGGAACCCTGGAATCACAAGCTTGAAGATGCCCAAAATAAACAGAGAGGGGAAAATGAACCAGAGAACAGGAAAGAGAAGCTCTGGAACAACTGCAAATAAGATTCATTGTCTATTCACTGAATCTTCTACCAACACTTACCTCATCCATGATATGTGAGGGTGGTATAATATCCCCCTGGGGGTAAAAATAAGAAGAAAAAAGACTTTTAAAATCAAATAAATAGTGTTACTGTGTGGGTATTTGTTTGTGTGTGTGCGTGGGTGGGTGGTTTGACTGTTCTCTAAGGGTTCACTTTAATTCAATTTCCCTGTGATTATCCCACTCTAACTGATGCCAGCTGGGCAGGTTTGGACTGGGTGGGGCCTCTGGCACTTTTAAACTCCACTGGCATCTCCAATCTGAACTGAGAGCTGCTGAGCAGTGCCAGTCTCCAAACAAACAGGGCTAGTGAAACCGGTTCAGATACGGTGATGTTTATGTCATTTACAGCAGCTCTATCCAATTACTCAGTCGTGCTTGACTGAGAGAACAGGGAGTAACGATGACTTGGAGGACAGGAAGCGTGTGTGTGTTTGTGCATTTTTTAAAGAAAGCAAAGGGGAAAAGGACAAAAAAAGATGGGCAACTTCAAGAAATATGACTAACCTCTTGACCGGGGATGTGATGAACTGCAGGCTGTGAAGAAAGAAAGAAAGAAAGAAAGAAAGAAAGAATGAAGAGCAATGACTAAATTATTTTGTACTATAAAAACTAAGAGCTGTTTTGCATTTTAAATCATATGTTGTCAGGCGCTATGCATACAAATACAACCGCGTGGGTGAAGGAGCCACTAAACTTCCTCTGCGGTGCTGGAGAAGCTGTGATATGTGCCATGTAAACACTTGTGGGTTAAACTCATAACAAAAGCATTTCTTTCAACAGAGATGCTGCAGACAAAAGCTGGGCTAGATGTGTCTAGAAGATGCAAAGAATCCCACAGAATCATCATTGAGGTCACCTTAATTGTGAAGGACTGTGACCTTTATAGCCTTATGTCATGTGTCATTCACAAAGAGACTGAAAATTGGAAAATTAAGGCCACAGATGTCAGTTACAATATTACAAATGATAATAATGACTATGAGGAAGATAATTCATATAACTCTTACTTTATCTCTGCGGATCAGTTCGAAAGCAGCAAGCAGTTCTCCAGCAGGCTTCCCAGCTTTCTGGATGGGATACCAGGCGAGGCGAGGGGTAGACACCATTGATGATTTGCAAACACAACGGCCCATAAACTCATCAGCACCCTGCAGGGATCAAATAACTTATCAAGCATTTTCTGTTTCATAGACATTAAATGAAACCTATGTGACATTAGTCTAAGCCTCCGACAACACGTCATTCAGAGTTTTGTTTGAGATGTTTCATAGTCTTAGCTTTCTGTCTGTGAAATAATAGTTTAGCACTACTTTACAACTACTTTATTTGACTTTACTTCACTTCTTTATATGAATTAAGGTTTCCAATATTAGTCTATTCTTGTGGTATCATCAATTTTAAAATTGTATGTCACGTATATATATTATTATTATTATTATTATAAGTAATCATAACACTTAATATTTTAATATTGTCTATACCTAAAACCTATTTGTTTTAATTAATCAGATAGTTGGACCAGCCTGAAAAAGTGTAAGCTTTTTTTTTTTTTTGT